GGATTAAAAAAAAAGAAGTGACTGGTTTTGATAATGAAGGTCATGTATAATCTTTGCAAGAGCCATGTCTACATAATTGGGCACCAAAATACAATTGCAAGGTGTTATGAAGAAGGCTAATTAAAAATAAAGAGAGTGAGAGAGATACAAGTGTGAAATTGCTCTGTCATGGGCCTTTTATTTTTTTTAAAGAAATTTCAAGAACATCAATTAAAAATACCATACAAATAGCCATTGTTTTATCCTCTATCATAGAGGAAAAGTAAAATATTAACATAAAGTAAAAAAAAAATTTTGTTAAGCAAACTTGTTGAAATTTGACTCAAATCACGTACATCTTTGATAATTTTAATGAAGAATATCATCTGTTTAATTTTAATAATTGAGGTATGAAAAATACAACATAAAGACATTCCAAAACTGTCAAAGACTGGATGTATGGAAGATTATGATGGCAATTTTATAGAAGACTACTGATTTCTGTAGATGAACTTTACTTCCATGTGGTCTCACAACAAAGTGTGCTTACCCTGGTAAAAGAACTTACCACATTCTGTAGTAACAATCTGTTTTCATGTTTTAGTGCTTAGTTCCTTAAAGACAGGCTAGCATCATCTCTTGTTTATCATTTTATCCCTAAGCGATAGCACATATAATGAATAGATGAACAGTATGGGAGAATCATCAGAGGAGTGGAAAAGGAGATTTTACTTCTCCTGTACTATAAAGAGAATGAAGAGCTGTAAGTTTTTGAGAACAATGAGCTATGAATAAAATGCAAAGTTATTTTAATTAGAAAGAGATCTATATCTGGCTATATACCTATTTCTATATATAGATCTACAGCTTTACTTACATCTAGATTTAGGTCTATACCTTTATCTAGATGTATATGTATACCTACCTATATCTATATGAAAAGCAAGTATGGATTCCCATTGACTAACCAGAATTCTAAGAAATCATGGCCTAGAAAGATTTTTGAGGAAAAGCAAAGCATCAAGAATATGAAATATGTGTGAAAGATGTTGTTGTTGTTGTTATTGAGTGAAAGATATAGACAACAAATTCATAAAAGAATTATGAATGATTGGCGATGAATATGAAAAGGTATTTGAACTCAATCATAATCAAGACATTTAAATTAGAGTAATAAGGTAACGCTTACTGCCTTTCAACAAAATTGATTAAAACTAGTGTTGCCAATATTGAGATTGGGTGAGATGTGTTTCATACTTTGGTGATACAGGTTTTTTATACTTGTTGAGGTTAATACAGCTATAAGTATATCACCAATAGTATTTCTGGGATTCCTTCTTAAAGATATCTCACACGGGTGTACACGACATATCCCTAATGTTATCCTTTAAAACTTTGTAACCACAAAGGCTAAAGTCATCAATAGGAGGATGGTTAAATAAATGATAGTTCAGTCATACCATGGAATGTTATGTGGTCATTAAGAAAGCATATAATGGAAATATACATTTAGACCTTCAACAGTATGGATTATTTTTTTAAAAGATTCATAAGAATATGCAGAGTATGACTAACTCCATTTTAGAAAACTGTACATAATGCTTAGAATTATCTATGTGCATGTAGGTGCCTAAGAAGAAACCTGAAAAGACAAGCCCTAAGCTGTGAACAGTGTCTCTTAAGTGGATGTAATATATATATATTAAGTAACATATATTAAATGGATGTGAAGGAAGGTATCATTTTACTTTTAAAAACTCTCTTTACTTCTGATTTGCTTTTTTTTGTAAATATGCATTATATTTGTCATGAAAATTTTAAATCTCTTACTGAAAAATACTTTATTATTATGGATAATATGATATTTAATCAAATTTATAGATAAACTAAACTAAAGATTGAAGATAAGGAAGCTTAAAAATAGGTGTAATTCCTAATTAGCCCAGAGAAAGAATTTGAAACACATGACTCAACAGGCCCTTGAAGAATTGGTGGACAAAGCTGAGCATGTTATTTGAGGACATATGTCTTCTTCTAAAACCATCAGTGTTATGGGGCTTGAGATATATAAAACAGCCTATACATCATATTGTAGCTGAAGGGATTCAAGCTTGCCTTTAGTTATGAAGTTCAAATTGGAAGCTGTTCAGGCAGAAAACTAATAGAAATGGGTGATAGCTAATTAACCTAAGGCTTTAAAGTAATTGCTCTGCAAGAAGCAATTTAAAAGGCACCTTTCTTTCTTTTTTTTTTCACATTTTTGAAAATCATTTTATGCCCTATTTGACTCTTGGTGCATGAACAAAAAATATATGAATACACATAAATATTTATTTTAAAAAACTTTTAACAGATCCAACTTCTTAGTAAGTTTTTAAAATGGCAAAAGTAATAACAACAATTATGTTTCATATCTTATACTGAAGATCCCAGCCTTAGGACTTTGCCAAATATGGATATATAAGAGCAGAATCTCTGAATTAAATATGACTAGGAGGATGGGATCTTAGCTATTTGACACAGCCCTGGGCCACCTGTCTCACAACTGTAGCCAACAGAATCAGCTACTCTAAAGTACACGATTGTTCAGGAAGCAGTTCCCTACGCAAAAGACTATGCTTATGAAAAGAATATGGGGACCATACCTAATATATATATGTATCTTATATATATATATATATATATATATATATATATATTCCACATATGTAATTTCCATATATATGTGTGTGTGTGTGTATAATATATATTTATATATTATATATACATATACAATATATATTTATATATTATATATACATATATATGATTTCCACATATATATTATTTCCGGAAATAAGAAATCCCAACTATCCCATCTTTCTATATCCTGTTTCAAACAGATGCTTTGGGTAGAATGAAGTCCTTTTCCCCCATGTCCAAATGCCTTGTGGGTAAATGATAAATTACCTACAACCAATCATTATTGGGTCAGGTGCTGGGAGTTCTTTAAAGATACAATTACCTTTAAAAGCTTAGTGGTTGCTTCCAGTAAATTCCAAGGGCAACGAGTTATAGCCTTTGATTTTAAATTCAGGTCAAGGACTGTGTCTCCTAGAGGCAGGTTTAACCTTTTGCTTTTTTCTTTAAGCTTCAATCTAATGGCTTCTACCATGTGGCAGGTGAAAACAATTGTTGTTGTTGTTGTGCCCAGGCCAGTAGGACCTGACTCACAGCAACCCCTCCTTGGGTTTCCCAGGCAGTATCACTATGGAAGTAGATTGCACAACCTGCCTTCCAGGAGTGGCTGGTGGGTTTGAGAGGTGCCACTCACCTGCACTTGACAACATATGCACAACATCAGAATCTTCATAGACTGTAACAGGGGCAGAGGAATTTTCCCATAAGACCTTACATTGCAAACTATCTACTAATTTTGACTTGGTTGCTACAGGAAAAAGGGCTCCCATCTTAGCTAGTTTAAAAAGAAATGCCTTTTCCTTTTTTAAAGTTACTAAAGGGTGCAAGTATCCTACATACGTCAATATCTTAATTTTTTCTCTAGCAAGTTTTCTAATGCTGTAGCTTCAGTGGGCACAATAGTGAGAGTCTTATATGCTTTGTTCCTATAACACAAGGATTGGCATGGTCCTGCCTATCATACTCCCTAACAAAGTTGAATAAGTTCATATTTGAGGTCAGCCACTTACAACATACTACCAGAGCAAAGTTTGAAATTTTGGTATCAATAATGAATATTTTGCTGTCAACTAAACAAAACAATAAAAAAAAAACCCTATCTAATTAATTTTAGCAATATAGGTAGTAAATTAGATTGTCCGCTGGGATTCAGGACACATTCAATGTGACAAAAAAAAAAAAAAAAATCTCAGTTTATGCTTTCACTTTTGCATAATTAATATATTGACACATTTAAACAGTAAGTTTGAATTGTACAAAGGCCCGGTGTGTACCACATCAGGAACCTTCTCGCATAAGAAGGTACATCTTCCTACTATTTAAACTTCATGTGAGGCCCACCATGTAGATAATAACATCTGGGTAAGATTTCTCATCAGAACATCTAATACTCTGGCTGTCTTCCTCTCGAACCCCACTTTAATGCATGTAGTTTAGTCTAAGAGATTCTGGGGTGGCATACACAGTTGTGTGTTCAACAACAAACCTGATGGATGGTGTTTCTCACCTGCCCAGAGGGCCTGTGGAAAGTGCTGAAAATCTATTTCTGTAATGATTATAGCCAAGAAAATTCTATGGGGCAGTTCTACTTGGAAACACACGGAGTTCCCGTTAGTCAGATTTGACTTGGCAACAGGTTTTTTTTTTTTTAGGCTATTGTAGATACTTGATAGAGACCATCTTCTCAGACCACTGTGCTAATCCTAGGTTCCTAGGTTTCTAGTAATAAACTAATTCTTCAAGCCACATAGGAAGTTCTCTGTGTATCTCCAGGAGTCATGCTCTCAATACTGTGGATGTCCTTTATAACTAGTGTTTATGTTGTTGTTGTTATGTGCTGTTGTGTTTAGAATATTCTAAAGATGGCTTCTGTCAGTTGTCCCACATCCATATTTTCAATATATTCTTAATTGTAGGTTTCACTCTAATGTGTCTGAGTCATACATCCCTCTTCTGGAAATGGAATGGGATAGATTTTCCTAAACCATATGGTCTGCATGATAGAGATTTTGATGTCCAAATTTAAAAAAAAAAAAAAAAATGTCATCCTTTACCAAGAAAAAGGGTAATAATCCTTTGAGACCCAACATACATGCTAATGTTGTTTACATTTCCCCAATTGGATTGTTAAGTACTTTAGGGTACATAGCATGTTCTAGGATTGTGTTTTTCTATTGAATTTTGTAACAGGTAATGAACTAGATGTATGTATATGATTTTATTTCATTAATTGGTTTGTAATTATTATCCTCAAAATTTATGATAAATGATCCTTTTAGTATTTGTATGTTTTACTTTTTTAAAAATTTAGATCATTTATTTGATTCCATAAAATTATTGTAATGTGTGGCTTAGAAAAACAAAAGACTAAAAACCAATGTCTCAGATTGTTCTTGTTTCATATACTATGTATAATATTAATATATCTTTATTTGTCTTTTGTTGCAGGATTTATTTATACATGTGGTGGAACTTTAAAAGGACTTAATGGCACTATAGAAAGCCCTGGTTTTCCATATGGATATCCAAATGGTGCAAACTGTACGTGGGTAATAATAGCAGAAGAACGAAATAGAATACAAATCGTTTTTCAATCATTTGCTCTAGAAGAAGAATATGACTACTTATCCTTATATGATGGACATCCTCATCCTACAAACTTTAGGACAAGGTTAGTGAATTTTGAATAGAAGGATTGGGGGAAAATATGTTATAGGCCAAATATTTGTGTTACAGAAGACACCTAACTTTGTGGTGTAATTGAAATAAAATTGTTTTCAGCATATAATTATTATTCATTAGCTCAGTATCTCTTACTTCATAATGCTAATATATTATGACTGTCTCTCAAAATGGTGAATGTAAATTGAACTAAGACCACTTTAGAGTGTTAAAATACTAAACTAATTATTTCAATGCTGTATTTACTATAAGCAAAAAAATTTGGTAAAGGAAAAGCTTATCACATAATATGTCTTTTAGTAGCATGTATAATATTTTGTATATAAGAAAATGCAAACATATTCAAAATAAATACTGATATGCTAGTGAAATACATTAATTTCAGATGTGTACACTTTCATAAGGAGCTCTGGTAGCGTAGTGCCTAAGGCACTTGACTGCTAACCAGAAGGCTGGTGGTTCAAACCCACCAGCCACTCCTCGGAAGGAAGTTTGGGCGATCTACTTCTGTAGTGATACCACCTTGGAAACCCAAGGAGGAGTCACTATGAGTCAGGTCCAACTCAATGGCACAGAACAACAACATTTTCATAAAAATTTTAATTCCTGGAGAGTAGACCATACCATGTACAAACTGGGACAATTACATTATGTCTATACATAAGTTAGGGTGCTTTGGTGATGTAGTGCCTAAGGCATTAGACTGCTAACCAGAAGGCTGGCAGTTTAAACCCACCATCCACTCCTTGGAAGGCAGGTTGGACAATCTACTTCAGTAGAGATACTGCCTCGGAAATCCAAGGAGGGGTCTCTATGAGTAGGAAATGAAGGAAATGACTCAAGGACAGTAAGTTTTTTTGTTTTTGTTTTTTAATACATAAGTTAATTGCTAAAAAAAATAAAAGAGGGAGAGAATTATTTGATCCTGGCTGTATTTTTAAGTGATTCAACATAATTTCCTTTTGATAAAAATATTATCTAAAAATAGGAAGTATTTTGCTATCTATCCAAAATTTCTTTTTTCCTTTTTCACATAAATCAACTATAACATAGTCATCAAGTTAAAAATGCCAGATGATACAGATTGCATTGTGCCTGAGATTTTTACTAATATTTGCATATTTTTTGCTTAACTGTAGTATTTTCAACACAGAGTTTAAAATATTCTAAGCAAATGATGTGTACAAATTAAAGATTTTTCAGACTGGCTGTTTGAGTTGTGTGCCTATAATCCTTTACTCCTTCTAATAGCCGACAATGTGTAATTGCCATTTTTGATCTATAGGAAACAAATTTTCAATATCATGTTTTTATACTTTCATCAGGCTTCGCT